CTTGGTTAGAAAGCCCTGAGTTACACTCAGACCCTTCCCTCACCGATCCGGACGGTGCATCAGTACCAACGACTAAACGTTCGCTTAACCAAACCACATTATCAACAAGCTCACCTGTACCGCGCATAGCCGCGACCTTTGTCGAAGCTCGCTCTGATGAGAGCGCAACGCTTTCAAAAGTGACGGCCTTTTCCGAAGCCTGCTCAACCATGGGCAAAATACTTGAACCTGACTTTCTTGTGTTCATGCTCAGCGATGGCAACTCATTTTGCCTCGCTAGGCACTTCTCGAGCTAACCACCACATGCAAATTACCTGGACCAATCGCTTCCCGCACCTTGTCATTTGATAAATAATTGTACGATGTTGACTTTCGATGTTTCGAGCTGAATTCTGCACTTCCTTATACCGTATCGCATTTATTTACTTGTTCGGACCTATTATTAGCCTTACTGGGGACATCTACACTTATGCTACCCTGTGCCTGAATTTTCTCTACTTTCGAAATAGGAAGATTACCCTTTAACACGCTTTTAACCGCTTCATGCTGCTCATTACTCAATCCTACACACTCTATAGTATTTTCTTCCGAGTCCTCGTACGCTATAATTTCCGATTACCATGAGACTCTTTGGTCTCAATGTATGCGGATTCTGGTATTAACTTCACGTCGGCTGTTGGCGGCCGTTGCCACCTTTTCCAACCTGCCATACGATCTTCTAAAGCCATTCCTGCCTCTTTTGTGATGAGAATAGGCAGTTGCCTATTTCTTGTCGGTCCCTGTGTCTCCCTCCCTTTGTTCTCGGCAAGGCTCAGTGGTCAGTATTGGGCGCACTTTCTCTATGCGTCTAATACTGTACCTCTTTTTCAGTCGCCATAAATTACCAGGTTCGGCTGACATAGCCTAAGGAGAGCGAGAGAGAACGTTGCAGAAGGAAAAACGTAAGAAGACGCTGCAGTTGAAGAGAGAGAACTAGAGAAAGAGAGAAAGACCGCTCACGTGAGTGCACACTAAGCGGTTATTAGACGGGCGGGCGACGACCAATTAACGTTTCGTCGCAAGCCGCCTAAAAATGGGCTATGTAGGGATAGTTTGTGAGAAAGCGGTCACTGCCCGCGCAGAAGTATTGCGTAGCGTCACTCTACGTTAACCATCAATCGAGGTCAGTCGACCAAGGAATTAGCTCACGTTGCCATCATCTTAGCAATTATTCCCTGTGAAGAAGAGGTTGGCTGCCTTCCAGCTTGAGCAGCCCCACGTCCTGGCCTTTCGTAAATGCGCGTACCACCTGCAGCAGTGACATCGACGAGAAGCCGGACAATCGGCCTGCCCTACAGTAACCACCTTCGCCTCTCAGGGTATATCGAGGAGAAAACAAAGGTCAGGTTATCTCTCTCTCCCGGTTATTCTCTCTCATAGTAATGTGCGGCCACGCGAATTATTAGGTAGCCAGGCGATCACTTGACGGCTATCTTTGTTTAATTCCTTTTCATTGATAGTCTGTATTGCGTGTTTCATTATTTATAAGTGCGCGGTAGCCAGGCGATCACTCGCCGACTACTTTACAAGTTTCTTTGTATTAGAATAAGTCGCGTTGTTATTCGGTTAAGGTGCATAATGTTGTAGACGTATGATTGAGATGTTTAGATTTTTGATTAATTTCATATTGCAGACATATGATTAAGATGTTTATATTTTTATTTGTTCAAGCGCGCGTTTGTTTGAATTATAAGGTAATTAAAGGTTTGTTATTTGGTATTAAATAAAATTGGTTTATTTTCCCCACCTACTCTTCCGATTGCATCTAGAGCGAAAATGCCTCCTTTACCTTTCCCTTTAAAAAGATAGCAGAGAGTTAAAACTGTTACACGTTAAACCCGTTCAAATCTTTAAACGTTTTTGTCTCAAGGTACCATTTGTATTTCGGATATACGCGTTACACGAGAATGGCTAATTAACGCTTAACCGAGACCAGCGGATCGAAACGGCGTAAAATTGTTTGACGAAAGCATTTATTTTCTCGTCTTCGCTTTACGTTCTTTGCCTAAGCTTACTGTAAAGCTATTCCCTATTCAGTCGACAGCCGAATTCGCCAGAAAAACTGTTTTTAAAGTTTTTCAGCGTCTTCTAATTGCCGCGATTTACCTAATACCACGAACGTGCCTTGTCACGGAACGCGGTGTCTATTGCGATAAGCATCTCTTTATCAGGGATGCTGTAGTAACACTGGCAATTGTTTAAACTCGATAAAAAACTCAACGTGTTCATACCGTCTTTACCTGAAAAGTGGAGAGACCAAGCATTGAGTGCGCTAACTCCGTCCGCAGGTATACTATTGATATACTTTACTCGCGGAGGAATTTTCTTTCTGCTCGATCTCTCTACCTTTTTTTACCTAATCTCTTTTAAACGGTCTCTCTTTTCGCGTATTGTAACTATCAGTATCTGACAGACATGTACTCGTATCGCTTACGCCGAAAGCCTCTACTTTTTCTGCTTGCTTTTGCCTAGGCTGCTTCATACGAACGACACTTTTCTTATCCTCGATCGAGCCATTCTCCAACAAAGCCGGTTCTCGCTTTTCATTTCTAGTAGTTGCCTGTACCTCGTGCTCCCAGTCTTCAACCCAAGAGTTGACCCTTGGCGCTCGGTACCTCCTGCTCGATGACCTGATAAAATCAGCGTTGATATGCATACTACCTGCCCTACTCATAGGTGCGCTCGTATACGTCGGTTACTCAGCCGTAGCCACGGGCACATTCAATGCTGCGCGGTCGCCGGACGGTTTGGCCTGAGGCGGCAATGAAGTCTGCTGCTCGGCCTGAACCGCCCTACTGTGTACCGCTTCTTTTTCCACTCTAAAAACCGCATTCACACCATCCGTGATTCCCTGTATAACTTCTCGCCTATAAATCCAACGAGACACGGCTGTAAATTCCCATCAGATTTGGCTTATGCATTAGTGCTACGCTCCCCTTGATCTCGCACGTCATGTTCGTGCGTGTATCCATCTGTGTCAGCTGACGGCAGACGAACCGCCGACAGCAATACATTTTCATCGTGCGTAACCATGCTTCTGCCCGGTGACTATGTTTGCTCGCGAAGAACGGCCGCGGAAATTACCGGCGCTGCCTGTTCTTGCAATCCAGCTGCCGAGGGCGCAGCAGCCATTGCGAGCTCGTTGCCGAAATTTTCGTTCGGCGTATCGTCCGTTACTACTTCCTACTATTCATCGCACAGCAAATCGAAAATTCGGCCCGACACAAAATCATGTGAATACAGCGGCGATCACAAATCTAGTCGCTCTTTAATTAATAAGTATCGGACATATCGATCACGTAGCTCTTCCAACTCGCCATGCAAGGTTACTCCGCGATGACGCATCAAGTCAAACAGAACAGCCAGTTTTGTTGAATCGATTCTATGCTTTAGATTTTTCGCGTGCGTATCGCGTAATATATTGCGCGTGATAATGCTATCCCTGCATGCCAGCGACATGATTGCGTTTGGAAAAAAATTATTCCGTGCGCGAAATGTAACACGTACCTCGACCGGGAGCTACGTAACCCGACACTCCTAAATACCTTATCTAAAATTCCTTCTAAGCTCTGAGCCGGCGAAAGGTCGCCTTGCTTAAGCCTAAGAAAGAAAACCATTCAAAATATCGTAAATAAAGCACAGAAAAGAAAATACTTTGAAGAAAATTCCGTCAGTCCAAAACCAAAACAAAACAAAGAACTCTAAGCGGTATTATGTTCGCATCTGGCTTTAAGGTGACTCATCGACGCACATGCTGTTACCCGATTCCTCGATAAGAAAAAGTCACAAAGAAACGTGAACTTTCCATAAACAACTAAATTCCTTCGCGAACAAGCGCAACGAACACGAATTTTTCATCACTGCGAAAAAGAAAATAACCGGGAGAAAGAGATAACCTGACCTTTATTTTCTCCTCGATGATGCCTGGAAGGCGAAGGTGGCAATTGCAGAAAAGGACGACCACCGGGCTTCCCGTTGTTGATGCTGCTGTCTGCGTAGGTGGTACGTACGATGACAGACAGTCAGAACCCGTGGCTACGCAGGATGGAAGATAACCCAAATCTCTCTTCGCAGGAAAAAAATTGTCAAGATGATCGGTAGCGCGAGCTAATTCCTTGGTCGACTGACCTGGCTGACGTAGAGTGACGCCACGCAATACTCCTGCGCGGGCAGTGACCACGCTCTCGCAGACTATCCCTACTTAGCCCAGTTTTAGGTGGCGTGCGACGAATTGCTAATTGATCGCGCGTCGCCCACCTGCTTAATAACCGCTTAGTGTGCGCTCACGTGAGCGCTCTCTCTCTCTCTTTTCTAGTTCTTTCTCTCTTTTTCTTTCTTCAGCGTTAGCGTCTTCTTACGTTTTCCTTTGACTTCCTTGGCTGAGTCAGGCAATTTATGGTGGCTGAAAAAAAGATACAGTATTAGGTGCATGGAGAAAGTGCGCCTAATTCTGACCACTGAGCCTTGCGGAGGGCAAAGGGGAGAGGCAGAGGGATCGACAAGAAACAGGCATCTGTCTACTCTCGTCTCACTTTTGCTACCTATATTATTGCGATTTGCGCTTGACTCAACCCTAATTATTATTCTTATTCTGTGTACGATTACACGCATTAGATTTTGCATATTTCAACTCTTGATTGGAAATATGATGCCTTTCGCTCGATGAGATGAATTTTGCCATGTAGCATAGTTGAGGTATCGGGCTGGGTTTCACTATAACGTAGGCGTGGCTCGCAACGTGCTGCATTTCAAATTTCTTAATTTTTTGATATAGTGATCAACTTGGGTAAGCGCATGCTTCTGAGCAATAACCACGTTATATATATAGTGTTTTGAATTAGTGTAACTAGTTTGATAATATTACTGTGTCTCTTCTTTTTTATAATATTATCAAGTTATCTACAATATTACTATATCGTATGAAACAAATTTAAAAAATAATATAAAATATCTATTCACAGGATGCAATTGATGATTTCATAGAGGATTTTGGACGTAAAAATTCATTCGATGCTACGAAAAGGCATGATAACAAATCAGATGACGTAATGAATATGCCAATCCCCGAGTTACATTCTGTTGGAGGAGTCCTTGTCCACATGCCTCACGTGAGAATATTTCAAGTTATTTAACTAATTCAAGTCATTTGAATTAATATGAATTGATGAAAATAAAATCTTCAACTATTTACATTGAAAAATATATTTTTTTTGGAAATGAAAAAAAAAAACGAAGTACACCATTTTCCAAATCAAAAACATTATTAAACTTAAGTGTAAGTTTGACAGAAAAGAAGAGAGTGTTCTACAATAATATTTATTGAGAATCTATTCTGTAAAAACTGTATAAAACTGCTTGAATTACTGTAAATAAATGCATCAATAATATGCATCCTCGATGAGCATAAGGATTTGTTTGACGAGGTTTGTAGGATGGAAATCTTTCGTAGATCGTAATGCCGTAACGAGCGTTATTAAAAAGATAGTATCGGATTTCTCAGAGTCTGATCTATCAACTAAATAATCTCTTATTTTACGACCCATAGATCTAAAACCTTAATTCGAAATCTTCCTTATTACTAGCACCGAAAGGCAATTCTTTTTAGTATCACTTAGGTGTTACTTATTTCGATTCCGGAGAATTCCTATTCAAAATATTGTCTTTCTTACCCTATCAGTTCTGAGTTTCTTCACTCATTTATTGTCATTTCCTTTTCCTTTCCTTCGTTGACCTTCATTACCTTCCTGATGAAGAGCTCTATCTTTCCTGCGACGTAAATAAGTATAATTCTTCGAAATCTAACTAAACTTGTTTCTGTTGCAAGCTTTCTTCTATCTGATTCATGTACAATACATACATAAATAGTGTGTTATCTATGTCAGATTTTTCTTCTTCCAAAAGTAGTAATTGCTATTAGGTCTATGTTCTTTTTTACCTATATATATTCCAAAACACCCATAGTTGCTGATCCCTCACATTAAACTCGATCGTACTGTGATCTCGGACAATTCACTCCATAAACTTCGTTATAAGGCTATGGTTACCTTTTCTACGATCCATATGCACTTTCTCTCCTCTTGGATTAGCTATTTTCTTTGATTATACCCGTCTTTCTTTTTCCATATATCTTTGATTTCAAAAGCTACTGGTTTAAGATGCGGGTAAGGAAGGGGGAAGCACGTTCGTTGCATCTTTTGATAGTGAGCACCATGTGTTGCTTATGCTTAAATTTATCTTGTCTGTAAGTATATAGTTCATGCGCAGCGTGTTTTTGTTTACAGTGTCTTTTTCACGTTCATCGGATTTTGATATTGACAAAAATGACTGACAAACAAGATCAACGAAATTGCATCAAATTTTGCTTTTAACTCGGAGAAACGAGTTTGGAAATTATTGAAATGATGCAAAAGGCCTTCGGAAGCGAGTGTATCAGCAAAACACGAATAAAAGAGTGGTATAAATGGTTCAAGGATGGTCGCAATTCTGTCGAAAGTGATTCTCCTTCCGGTCGACCTTCGACGACAAAAACCGCAGATAATATTGAGCGGGTGCGAGTTGCAATCGAACAAGATCGTCATATGACTGTGCGAGAACTAGAAGAAGACCTTGGGATACCAAAAACTATCATTTCAGAAATTTTAACCGAAAATTTAGGAACGAAACGCGTATGTGCGAATTTCATCCCAAAATTGCTCACAGCAGAGCAGAAGAACATTCGCTTAGAAATCGCTCTGGACAATCTGGAAATGGTCAATAATGATGATAATGTGCTTAGTAAAGTTATTACAGGTGATGAATCATGGGTTTATGGTTATGATCCTGAAACAAAACAACAATCTTCACAATGGAAGCATTCTGAATCGCCAAGACCAAAAAAAGCACGTCAAAGTCGGAGCAATGTTAAGTCAATGTTGATTGTTTTTTTCGATTGTGAAGGTGTTGTACATCACGAATATGCACCAAGAGATCAGACAATACATAAAGAATACTACGTTCAAATTTTGAAACGTTTGCGTGATGCAGTAAGAAGAAAACGGCCGCACTTTTGGGAAAGTGGTGACTGGCTTCTCCATCACGATAATGCACCAGCACATTCATCTAATCTTGTGCAGCAGTTTTTGAGCAAACACAATATCGCATTGCTTCGATAACCTCCATACAGTCCCGACATAGCCCCTTGTGACTTTTGGCTGTTTCCAAAACTAAAAAAACCACTCAAAGGACAACGGTTGAAAACAATGCGACGAATGTACTTAAGGCTATCCCTAAAAGTGAGTTCCGGAACTGTTTTGAAAAGTGGGAACATCCATGGAACCGTGTTATTCAATCAAATGGGGATTACTTTGAAGGATGCCACCCACCAGATGATAAAGAATAACGCTAGCACGAAAATTTAAAGGTAGGCCCGATACTTTCCGGGCAGACCTCGTATACTCTCACCTGTTGCAAGTAGTTATCTTTGAAATTCTTATTATCATCAAGTGAGCAAAATAGCATGTCTATAGAAATAGTAGATGTAGATTCAGCCTTTTTGTATGGAACAATAAGTACACATGTATATGTCAATCAACTTAAAGGGTATGACGACGGTATAGAGAGAGTGTATAAACTGAAAATATCTATGTATGCTTTAAGCGAGAGCACCTTCCATGTGGAGTGTGAGTGTGGGTCTTGGCATACTTCCTGGTATTGTTGCAAATACCAGGCATCAGTGGTCTCCGGCCGACTATTTATGGCACTCACTTCAATCCCCTCTTCCTTATAGGCCCTACACAATGCGCCCGGCACCACATTGAGATCCCCCCTTTGATATTTAATATCGAAGACATTGTCTTGCGATGCTAGCGCCCACCGCGCTAGTCTTCGCGTGGGATTTCTCATACGAGCATATGATTTCTCGTACTTCGGAGCCATTTCATGCAAATATGATCAGTGATGACCCGGAAGTGATGCCCTTCAATATATGGCCGGAACTTTCCAATAGCCCATACCACTGCCAAGCACTCTTTCTCGGAGTCCGTATAATTCCTCTCAGCACTGTTGAGTGATCGGCTGGCGTATTCTATCACACGCTTCTCTCCATCGACATCCTGCGTAAGGACTGTCCCGATCCCACTGTCACTGGCAGCAGTTTGTAGTACAAACCGACCGCTAGAATCGGGCGGTTACAGTATTGGGGCGATAGTCATCGTCTCCTGCAACCTCGTGAAAGCTCGCTCTTGCTCCTCCTCGCAAAAAAAACGTACATTCTTCTTTGTCAGGCGGTTTATAGGTTCAACGATCATGACAAAGTCGGGTATAAAACGTCTATACCACGAGATCATTCCCATGAATCGCTTAACCTGTTCGACGATTCGGAGTGTTGGATACTCCAGTATCGGTCGTATCTTCTCGGGATCTGGTCTTACTCCGTCCTGGTTTACAAGATCTTCCAAGTACCTAACTTCCGTCTTACAAAAGTGGCTTTTGGCTTTGTTGATGGTTAGCATCTAAAATTCTTTTTAATACCATTTCCAGGTGTCGCTTATGCTCCTCGAATGACGACGAAACCACTATTACGTCGTCGAGGCAGGCAATAGTGAATGGATCTATATTCGAGACTATCACTTTGTCCATCAACCTCTGGAAGGTCGCTCCTGCGTATGACAGTCCGAAGGGTATTCTCTTAAATTGAAAGTGCCCTGATCCAGGTATTGTAAATGCTGAAATTGGACGCGATTCTTTCTTTAGAGGAATCCGATGGTATGCACTACTCAAGTCTAGCGTGGATATGAACTTTGCATCGCTTATCCGTCTTAGGATTTCATTCATAAATGGTAAAGGATAGGCATCACGTTTGGTGATTGCGTTTACCTTTTGGTAATTCACGCAGAATATACTTTCCATCAGCCTTCTTTATCATCACCACTGGACTTGATCATCCGCTGGTCGCTGGTTCGATTACATCTTTTTCCAGCATATCCTTGACCAGCGCGTGCATTTCCTCTCGCATCCTATCAAAAACTGGGTAGTATTTCTGTTTGATAGGTCGAGCACCTCCAACATCTATTTCATGCTCAACCCGTACGGCACAGCCTAAAGCCTGACCTCCATGAGGAATCAATCTTCTGACGAGATCTTCTATTTCCTAAAGCTGTTTCCGTGGCCTCCCACAGTTCTACCGGTACGAGAAATGGCGTACCATCAATTGCAGCCACTTCCATAGGTATTTTTACCTGGGCGTTCTTCAACCATAATTCATCCTCATTGGGATCCAAAACTGCGCGGAACTCTCTTATAAAATTCGCGCGTACGTAGCAGTCATCCGTGAACAGGGGTGTAATGGCGACTCTTATCTTCTTTGTGATTCCCCCTATCTTAAAGGGGAAGATTACGTGAGCAATTATGGAGCATGAGCGTCTGTCGGCTAGCCTTGCATTGCCCACACTGGTCACATTCAGCCCGAGTCCCATCTCCGATGCCAATCTCAGCCTTAACTGACCCATGACCGTGGATAAGGCACCGGTATCATAGAGTGCTCTAATCTTAAAGTCACCTATGTCTACCCGCAACACCACCTGGTCTCGTCCTCAGGGTCATATCCACGAGTCGCATCTTTTCCTCCATTTATCGTACTTCTAAGCGGTTTCCTTCCTTCCGCTGCTGCTACGACGGTAGGCTTGCTTCCATTTGTGGATTCCTTCGGCAGAGGAGCTTTTTGTGTGGAGGAGCTCGAAACTTTCAGGTCTTTGGGTTGCTCGATCCTCAGATCTATCGAGTCTTCCCTCTTCTCCACAACTTGTATGTGGCCACCTGGTCCTTCCAGGATAACCACTCCCCAATTCTGCCGAGGGCTGTCATCGGGCTCGATTACCTCCTGCTCTGATGTACCGCTAGGTCCTGAGCTCTCTTGATGCCCTATCAGGACCTGTTTGGATCCCTGGGTCGCCGACAACTTGATGTTTCCCGTCGATGACCCGAAGCGAGAGGTTCGAATAACTAGAGGCGCAAAAATGACGTCTTCTCTTCTATCTCCTTGCCGTTTCCCTTGTTGCAATGTGGGCAGAATTTACGACTGAAACCCAATTTGCCACAAGCGGAACACTGGAGAGGCTTGGTAAAGTCGATC